TAACATGTGCAGAGCACTTAGAACTGTTTTTGGCAGGAAGTAAGCACTATAACTGTCATTGCTATCTTCATCCTCATCATTAGGATGGATATTCAGAAGTAGGCATTGGGGGTAGCACTGTAGCACTGTCCTCCCATTGTTCATTGATTTGCTTGAGCGGGCCCAGTAACGTCTCCATTGTGACACTTGTTACTGTTTTGGCATATCAAATACATCACGGGGAGCTTGCCAGGCTTTTCCCTGCGAGTGGGATATTCTCAGTAGCTTGCTGGGCTCTCTGAGCAAAGTGGAGGAATCGAACCCGGGTCGGCCACATGCAAGACAAATGCCCTGCCTGCTGTACTATCGCTCCAGCCCAGGCATTGGGGGTAACTGGGAAATATATATGATTACATTAAAGAGAATGTGGACCCTCTTTATTGGGCTCTTATGTTTTATAAATTGTGTAAGAGCATACATCAATTTTATAATCAAAAAGCATTTATTAATGAAAAAATATTTAATTCATACTGAAAAGGTTGCAAAACTGTCAGTTCATCTTGAGATTAGCAGGAGCTGGGCTCTGTTCGTAGTGATGGGCTATTTAAACAACATGCATTCTAGCAAGGTTCTCACAGATGTGGAGAAACAGTGGTTTGATTATTAATACCCGAGAGCTACAGTGCACAGATTGCTACAAATAACCTATACCCTTTGGGAACTTGAGAAGCTCTGAAAAACTGCTTCCTGTTGCCAAGTACACGGTGGTCAGGTTTCTGGCTATGCACACCCCTCTTACCTCCCTAACAGTACTTCTCAAAACCTCCAGCTTCCTTACTGCATCCTTTCTGATCTCCGAGGGTATAAACAGACTGTCAGCTTCCCAGCTACTTAGCTATTTTCACTAAAAGCACTACACAGCACTTTTATGGAATTGACCCATTTCTCTTAGTAAAAGCAGTATTATAATGTAATACATGGCCTGCTCCAACCACTCACGAGTTAAAGAAGACTATTAAAGACAAGACTGCAGCACAACTGATGAAGCAAGTACAAGAGGAGAGGCCGGGAAGAATGCTGATCAGCCTGGGCCATGAGGCAGAGGGCACTGCGCTCCAGGCCCTCCAAGGACACGGAGCAGTGAAGCCTTTTCATCTGCAAAATTGCTTCTCTGGCTCAGTGCTAGGTAGGTGGGTAGCCAGTACTTTTTAATGGTCATTCTGAATTTGCAAAATACACCACCTGCAATTTATTCTTATCAGCAGTTACTTACTGTCAGGTGAAGATGGTCATATTTTCACACCGTGGAGATTGATGACTTGCCAAGTTGAAGTTCTTACTCAAGATCACCCTTTGAGGGGCCAGTCTGGGGCTTATCACCTTTCTTGAGTTTTGGTATGTGTGGATAGTTAATTGAGTCATGTTTCTGCTTTGTTTTAGGGGCCACACCCAGTGATGATTAGAGGATTACTCCTGGCTCTGAGCTCAGGAAGTACTCCTGGCAGTACTTGGGTGACCATGTGGGATGCTAGGGATTGAACCCAGGTTGGCGGCATGCAAGGCAAGTGTCCTACCCACTGTACTATGTCTCTAGCCCCCTGAGTCATGTTACACTCCAGGGGTGGCCTTGGCAGTGACTTCCTGTGTGAGGCATGGTCACAGATGTGTGCTGGAAGCCCGGGGTGGGGAGTTGTCGTGTGAATTCTCTGCAAGTGAGGGCGGCCAGTCTCTTCTGCATCAGTTTTCCCTCCTTAGCCTTGTGCACTGGTTCCCACACAATCAGCTCTCTGCCGTGCCAATTACTCCAACCCAGGTGCTCTCCTCCTTAAGTGGCTCCTGGCTGGCATAAGTTCCATACTTTTTCTTCTCCCTGCCTGTTCTGAAGTGACTTTTTATCTAATGATTTTGTTCCAAGTATTGTATTAGCTTGTATACTATGGGCGACACATTCTAAGACCCTGGTGGATAACTGAAAATTTAGATAGTGCTAAGCCATATAGCTTTACTTTCTATAGATACACATACATATGTATACAAACATGTTTATCTCCTACATATATAGATCTATGATAAAATTCAGCTTATAAATTAGTCAGAATACCAGTAGCTAACAATAAAATAAAACTATAGTAGCACTGTAGCACTGTCATCCCATTGTTCATCGATTTGCTCAAGCGGGCACCAGTAACGTCTTCATTGTGAGACTTGTTGTTACTGTTTTTGGCATATCGAATATGCACGGGGTGCTTGCCATGCTCTTTCGTGCAGGAAGGATACTCTTGGCAGCTTGCCGGACTCTCCGAGAGGGAGGGAGGAATCAAACCCAGGTCGGCCACATGCAAGGCAAATGCCCTACCTGCTGTGCTATCACTCCAGCCCAGAACTATAGTAACCGTAATAAAAGTTCTGTTGAATATGATCATCTCTCAGTATCTTAGTAAATAATATTTGGGGACTGTCATTGGCTTTGGGTAGCTTAAACCACAAGTAGTGGTGGGGGGATTATTTCATCTATAAGTAGAACAGAGAGATTTTTAAAAAATAATTAATACATGGAGGAGGAAAAGGGAGGGAAACACAGAGGAATGGAAGGAGTTGGGTGATGATAGGAGGGAGGAAGGGAGCCACAAAAGCAAATTTAAAATGCTAATGGGAGTATTACCTGGTGCTCTCACCTTCACAGCTCTGTGGTCTTATGTGGGTGGCATTTAAGAAGTTGGTCTCTCTCTCTCTCTCTCTCTCTCTCTCTCTCTCTCTGCCTTCTCCAGCATGCTCCTGCCTCCTTTCTGTATCTCCTCCATACTATCTCTTGGGGCCTACTCTCCCTTTCTTCACACCACTCTCAATGCCAGTGACTGGGCAGACACTATATTCCTCCTATCTCTTAGGGAGATAAGAGTTGGCTTCCAGAATAACTTTCTAACAAGGGTTTAATCCTGCTAGTTTTGTATTCAAGGCTTTCTGATTTGGCTTCTAATCTACTCTTTCACTTTTCACTAAGTATCCTATTTGTACTGTTAAAGTATTTATACAAGAAAGAAGCCATTAAACAAGAGTGATTCTAACACTTTGGTAGCCAAGGTAAGAAAATCAAAACCCAAGCCAGAATCAATGCACTTGGATCTGAGAAAATGAATTTCAAGGACAATCAAATAATTTATTTGCTTCAACAAGTCTTCTGTATAAAACCTTATTCTTAGCTGCTACCTGTAAAACACTTGATATTACACTTGGTTTGATACTGCCTATTTGAAGTTAATGTATGCTCAGATAAGCTTCTTTACCATTCATCAACAATATCCTGAGGAAAATTCAATTTGCCTCAGTTTACCATTTACCAGTACCTCTTTCAATTACTGCAGTCATTCAACAGTGCTCACAGGTGACCCTCAGTAGTTCCTCCTCTGTCTCTGCAGACAACAGTTCTTTCAGTTAGAAATGTCCCTCTCTTTCAGTTTTCTTTTTTTTCTTTTGGGGTCACACCCAGTGATGCACAGGGGTTACTCCTGGCTTTGCACCCAGGAATTACTCCTGGCAGTACTTAAGGGACCATATGGGATGCTGGGAATCGAACCTAAGTTGGCCATGTGTAAGACAAATGCCCTCCCTGCTGTACTATTGCTCAAGCCCCCCCTTTCAGTTTTCAACATCAAAATTAGGCAGATGAACAAATGACCTACCTGACTCTGGCCTATCGATAGCATTTTTATCTGACCTAGTTGTTAAGTCCTATGCACATATAGACATACATATAAAGAAGATGGTCCCAACTGACTCATCTGTGATCAACAGCAGTTAGGGCAGCTTCCCCATGTCTAGGGCAGCAGGATTATGTCAAGAAGCGAGAGGCTCTAACTCCCACGTACCATCAGTTACTCTACTAAGGACCACAAGAAACTTGCGAGGGGACAACTTGGTGTGTGCTCTCCAAGAGCGTGTGGTCCAGTCTTAGAGAGCAGTCTAATACAGATGAACCAATAAACACAATGGAAGATAGAGAACAGGATTACTGTGACTAGAGTAAGTACAATATAAGAAATCAGAAGAGAAGTTCCTCTTTTGGAGGAGTGGGGCAGAGAGGATGAGCCATACCTTGCTGCGCTCAGGACTGACTTGCAGCTCTGTACTAAGCAACCCTGGCAATGCTCGGGGGACCATATGTGGTGCTGGGGGTTGAATCCAGGTTGGCCATGTGCAAGGCAAGTCCCTTAATCCCTCTACTACTTTCTGGTCTCAAGGTTCCTCTTGATATAACTAAACTGCATCTCAGTACAAGGTTTTGTGTTGGATAGCTGAAGAAATTGGTGGAGGGAGTAAAAATCATGAGGGAGTAAAAATCAAAAAACTGAGAGAAAAAATCATGGGGGAAAAGGGTCCTGCCATTCCTGCTGCAGCTTGAACTTGGTTTAAGTGCCCTGCCCACATTATTTCATTTCATTGTACGATAATCCTACAAAGTAGACTGTATCATTGCCAGTTTGATAAGCAGGGAGGCTACGGCTCAAAGGGATTAAGTAACTGGCCAAGGTTATACAGGATTAGGTAGCAGAGCTGGGATTTGGAAAAGGCAGTCAGCCTCTATTATACTTGACTCCTCTAAAGCAAAACATATAAATAACACCAGATGTTTTCTTTAGGAAGGGGGATTCTGAATAGCTCAACTTGTAAATCAATAAGCACAAGTAGTCTGTTGTATGTTTAGGGCTCAATCAAAGCTAGGTGACTCTGATTCAACCCTATTCATCTGGAGAGAGAAGGAGGAGACTCAGAAAGTAGGTGAAAGGAGTCTGGACTTAAATGATTAAGCAGGGCGGTCCTATAACTGGAGAATATCTCAGACTAACAGAAAGCACCAAGGAGGGAGGCAGTCTGAAGCATCTGAATTAATATCACCCAGGCCTGGTCCATGGTCTCCTTCAGGTATGAAGGAAGAGATCACCTAGCTGAAAAGAAGCCCTGCTGGAACAAGCACACATCCTCGGAGGTGAGGCTGGAGAGAGACAATGATGGAGGAAACGTACCTGGTCTCGTTGGCACATCGGATCTTGCAGCCTTCCTTGGGAATCACCAAGCCCAGGTGCATTCGGAGCCTGCAGTTAGTGGGCCCCGTGTGTGGCCACACGTGAGTTCCTGGGTGCATGACAGAATATTTGATCTGCACAGAAAATATAACACACCATTCATCCATTTATCAAGGTGTGGGGGAACTGCTAAATTAAAGTGACAGTACTAAATTACTGTCACTTTGGATTAGAACCTTGGTGATTCAGAATTCATATTCTCTTATTTCTTTGTGAAAGTGCTAAAAATAAGGAGTCCCTCTTTACACAAAGAGATAAACACTGAACATTTTCCACCCTTAATTTAGACGTCAACCACATGAAATTATGTTTCATTAAAAAGGGAGTTAAAAAAATAGACATTCCTTAATGTCAAAGGACTTAACCACTCATTTCCCTGTAAAGCATCAGCATTCCCTTATTCCCTCAGGCAGCTGCATTCTCCAGAACTGAAAATCCTTCGTACCTGTCCTCTTCTGCATCCTGTTGTCTCAGAGAATTTATCTAGTAGAGAGCAGGTTTTGGGAGCTCCTTTACAGGAATTTTCATTCTTTCTTCCTGGAATAATAGATGAAAAACTGTTGTTAGAAATCTCTTTTTTTTGACCATATGCAATCTGTATTTTCATTGTCACAGCAGGAAGGGGCCTAGAAGAGAGCCTCAACAGACAGGGGCAGCGAAGCAAGGATGAGCATTACAGTGCAAGACTGTCTGACTGAGGCTCTGATAGGCAAGGCACATGTTGAATACTTAGTCCCGAGAGCAAGTAAAACAATGCCTCTCTCCATATCCCATGCCCGGAAACTATGAATGTTCATATTACAGGTCAAGGAGAAATTAAGGATGCAAATAATGAGACTTCATACCTGTTGACTTTTAAATTGGTGATCAGGGGCTAGAGCAATAGCACAGTGGGTAGGGTGTTTGCCTTGCACGTGGCCAACTGGGGTTTGATTCCCAGCATCCCATATGGTCCCTCGAGCACTGCCAGGAGTGATTCCTTAGTGCAGAGCCAGGAGTAACCCCTGAGCATCACTGGGTGTGACACTCCTCAAAAAAATTAGTGATAAACCTGGATTAACCTGGTGAGTTCAGCATAATCATAGGGTCCTTAAATGCGGAAGTGGGAGGCATTGTCATCAACAGAGGAATAAGAAATGCCATTGCTGTTGTGAATATGGTAGGGTACCACAAGAAAAAGAATCTGGTGGCCTCTAGAAGCTAGACCCTCCAGAAGAGATACTTTAATTGTAGCCCAGTGTATTTTCCTTCCTTCCTTCCTTCCTTCCTTCCTTCCTTCCTTCCTTCCTTCCTTCCTTCCTTCCTTCCCTCCCTCCCTCCCTCCCTCCCTCCCTCCCTCCCTCCCTCCTTCCTTCCTTCCTTCCTTCCTTCCTTTCTCTCTTTCTTGTCACATCCAGTGATGCACAGGGGTTACTCAGGAATTACTCCTGGCAGTGTTCAGGGGATCATATGGGATGCTGGGAATTGAACCCAGGTTGGCCGAGGGCAAGGCAAACACTCTACCCGTTGTACTATTGCCCTGGCCCATGTATTTTTCAATGTATATAGATCATCTTCTATTGATAAGGAATAAGATTTCAGGGCTGGAGAGAAGTATTGGGTAAAGGTACTTTGCAATACAGATGCCACATGGAAGAATGAAATAATATTCTTTTTAAAAAGGAAGACAAATGGGAATTTCCTCATCAAGAGATCCACAAGGGACTTCTGCACTTAAAGTTGAATTTAGTTTTATGTAATTAATTTTATATGTGTCCAAAAATAATAAATCATGTACTGAGTGTGAAGTGAGAGTCACAAGGAATGCATTTTAAAGGTATTCCCATTAACCAGATAGATCTCAATACTTGAGAAAATAACTTCTACGGCTACATTGGCTTTTCCTAAGTAATCTTTTGCTTCTGAATTGAGAAAAACATTGCTTCTATTTTTAGTTACAAATGGATGACTCCAAATGAGTTGAATGATAAATGTCAGTTTGAACAGATCCCTGTACAAGTATTTTAAAGTTCTAGTGTTCTAACCTTTCCCTATGCAGGAGGGTTTGACAGGAGTCACTGAGTCTGGGTTCCTGGGTTGCCTGGACAGCTATAAAGTGAAGCCTGGTGGTGGTTGGGCTTCCCCAAGGGCACAGTTGTAAGAATTGAGAACATGTCACCAGAAAAAACAGGTGTGCACACTGAAATAAGAGGTAATTAATGGACGACCAAATGTAATAGGGAAGGCCAACAGGTCAGGAGTGGATTGGACAACACCTCTAGCTAGTCTTAGAACTCACGGTATCCAGGATTAGTCTCACAGTTTTTAGTATGTGGACACCAATTCTGTAACGGGGAGATTTGCAGTCAGTGCTGGAGATTCTAAGTGGCTGCCAGCTTTCAGAAATGCAACCAAGTATCTAGGATGTTTTCAATGGGGCAACAACCTCTCAATGTGCTGAGAGAGTCAGTCACCCATGCTCACACCTGCTGACGGAGGCTCTCTGGGTGTCCATGTATAATAGAGGAGAAACTGAGGCACAGAGAGGTTTTTTTTTGTTGTTATTGTTGTTTTTTTTTACAGCAAGTGAATCAGTAGGAATTCCAGTCCAATTCAACCCAGGGTTCATGTTCTTAACCTCTCCACTATTGTTATTGTATGTGTGATTATTATGTTACAAGAAGGTGGTATCAACTACTAATTGGAAAACTCTGAGACAGACCTTCTTGGCAGGGACAACCTCAGACCTAAGGCATGATTTCATTGTCCTACTCAGGTAAGAAATCTGAGGCTGAGATTCAGGAACACGCACACAACTAAATGGTGTAATCAGAGCTCTAATCCAGCTTTTTACTGGTCTCCAAAACCTAAGCTTTAAAGCAGCATTTCTCAAACTCTTCTTCCTGTGTCCCCCTATCCAGCTCTTTGGTCCTATAGTCTTCTGCCATGAGAGACGGGAATACTATCCCCTCTCCCACCACCATTTATGCAAGTTTCATCAGTTGCTCCCTTCATCTATCCTGGAAGCTCACAGGGAGCTATATGGTCCCCAGTTGAGAAATGTTGCTCTAAAGCATCACTGGTCATTTTCTTATGTCACGGATCACAAGGCAGCAGTGAGGAGAAGTGGCTAAACATGGTACAACTTTACTGTCACATTATTATTTCTCACTAGGTTGAAAGTAGCTATAAAGAAGTGAAACACTGCTTTTCTTCAGTGCTGGTACCATACATAGAAAGAGAACTAACTTCCAATACAGATTTGAAAAAATCAACTGCGTATTTCATTTATGGGTGAATACATGGGTGAGAGGTATTCACAAAACTGGGATTTTTAAAGGTCTTGGGTTGTTTGTATCTTTCTTAGGTTTCAGTCTCTACTGATGAAACAGATTCATCTTGACTGACACATCTGATCAATAGGCAGTGATTACTATTGTGTTAGAAAGGATTCGGAGGTTTCAGCTTGAGCTGATCCATAAAGGATTCTGAGACTGGTGGACAACATTTCCTATGCACATTGAAACAGTTGCTCACATGTGACTTATTCGTTAACAGTCCTTTAGCACTCACTTTTCAAGCATATTGATGGAACTGAGGCATCAGATGAAGTACTGGTAAAGGCTGAGGCAAACAACTGACTTTGCCAATACATAAAATTAGCAAGATTTATACATTTGACCTTGTAGCTCCATTTAAAAAAATAATCTGGGCAGAGAGATAACTGAAAGAGCAAATGCTTTGCATGTGTGTGTGTGTGTGTGGGGGGGGGGGGGCTCGGGAGGGCAGGTGTATGATTCCCTGAGCACTGGTGGGAATGCACAAAAGCACAAAGCCGAATGTAGCCCCTGAATACTGACAGGTATGTCTCCATCACCTTGTTCACATAAACAAACAAACCAACAAACAAACCCAAAATCAATCACCCAACCCCCCTGAAAAACAAAAACAAAACCCATAATAACATCTGTTGTTGTGAAAAGCTAAAGATTCACTTAAAATAGTGTTCCCTCTCTTTAGCTAGATAGTTTCTTAAAGATCTCTCTGATGTAGCTCTTTCTTCTTTACATGCAAACCACTTTGAAAGCATAGGTGAGTTAAACTTCTATGCTTCTTTGTCCCTTTTATGTAAACTGCTTATTATCGTTTCAATTTACTTTGTGCAGCTGAAGACGCATGCCGTTTAGTCCTCAAAATGGATTTACTTTTGGTGCAGCTATTGTTAACCAGGTTCATCTCATTTTTCAAGAAGAAAATTGGTAAGAGCCTTAAAGATAAAATTCAGTGCTTCTCATTTTAAGGGCAGACTGGTACATTAATATATTGAACACATTTATTGCAGTCCTGTCTATGTGTGTGAGCCTGGGTTCAACTCAAAAGTATTGACAGAATTTGAACCACATTCTATTTTTGAAGAGCTCAGATTCTGGTTATTATAGACTTGTCCTGCTGATTTGTTATCTTCTCCAGGTAACACTATGATATGCATAAATGTGCATAAATGCTGTGGTCACTGTCACTATCACTGTCCTCACGTTGTTCATCGATTTTGCTCAAGCAGGCCCAGTAACATTTCCATTGTGACAATTGTTACTGTGTTTGGTATATTGAATACGTCATGGGGAGCTTGCCATGCTTTGTTGTGCTGGCGAGATACTCTCGGTAGCTTGCCGGGCTCTCCGAGAGGAGCGGAAGAATCGAACTCGGGTTGGTCATGTTGGCCGCTTGCAAGGTAAATGCCCTACCCTTATGCTGCATTTATCTCTCTTTACAGTAGGTTCTGAAACACATTATCAAACAGGAAGATCCGGAAAATTGAATATATAATTTATACAAATATACATTTAATTAATACACGTCATTGATACATATGTATTTTTACAAGTAAATATGAATTTATACAAACACATATTTAAGTAAATAGACACACATTTGAGCACATACCCATTGGTGTTCAGATGCAGTTTTAAAAGAATCAATGGTTTTTTGGGGCTGAAGCAATAACACTTCAGTAGGTGTTATTCAGTAGGGTAGGGTGTTTGCCTTGCATGCGGCTGACATGGGTATGATTCTAAGCCTCCCATATGGTCCCTTGAGCACTGCCAGGAGTAATTCCTGAGTGTACGAGCCATGAGTAACCCCTGAGCATTGCCAGGGGTAACCCAAAAAGAAAAAAAAAAGCAATGGTTTTTAATAATCTAGGTTTTTGTTGTTGTTTTGAGGCCACACCTGGCTATACTCAAGGTTTACTCCTGGCTCTATGTACAGGGATCACACCTGGCAGGTTTGGGGAACCATAGATGATGCTAGGGATAGAAACTGGGTCCACTGTGTGCAAGACAAACGCCTTATCTGCTGTACTAGCTCTCTGGTCAGATATGCTAGGTTTTTGTGCAGTATCCTTTAGTTCATGAAGTAGCACCCGAGGACTCAGGCCCCATCAAGTTACAGAGAACAATGTAGAAGTCTGGAGCTCACCTTGTTGCCACAGTGTAAACTGGCTCCAGTCCCCCTTCTCCCTCAGGTTTTCATCTTCAGGCAGGAAGAGACCCTTGGACTGATCCATCACTGCAAGGCCTTCATCACGAATTAACTTCCAGTTTCTTTCTAAGGACTAGAGGAAAGATTGTTTTTACTGGACTGAATATACACCTGGTATAAACAACTTAGAATGACTCCCAGCTTTTGCTTAATTAATAAAGTCATGGAAAAAATGGGGCTTGGGTATTATACTCAGCAGTGCTCAGGTCTTACTTCTGGCTCTGCACTCAGATATCACTCCTCTCTGGACTCATGGATAGAACCTTAGTAGGCCATGTGCAAGGCAAATACTACGTGCTGTACTAATGCTCCATCCTTAAGGGTTTTTTTTTTTTGCATTTATCTAGACTGTTTTATTTATTTATTTTTGCTTTTTGGGTCACACCCGGCGATGCGCAGGGGTTATTCCTGGCTTTGCACTCAAGAATTACTCCTGGCGGTGCTCAGGGGACCATATGAGATGCTGGGAATCGAACCGGGGTCAGCTGCGTGCAAGGCAAACGCCCTACCTGCTGTGCTATCGCTCCAGCACTAGACTGTTTATTTAAATTTCCTCTGGGATCTCTTGTCAAGAGTATTACAAAATACCTAACATTATTTTTCAGAACTAAGTACCTCTGCTTATAAAATTTTCTATAATTCTTAGTACCCTCAAAGAATAATCTACTCCAGAATCTGGGTGTAGGTTTGCCAAAAGGAATTTTTAAAACACCATAACTTTCCAAAGTATTAATCTTGCAGATTATATTATATCACTTTGCTACAATAAGCCTGTATGACACTCTCATGATCCAAGCTATAGTAGAAATCACAGACTTAATTTTACCTTTCAATAGATGTCCCCATAAAAGTGCCATTCAACTTGGTAAACATTAAACTTTCAAAGAAATCAGAAAGGTGTCAGTGAAAACATCTGATGTATTATAAAATAATGGCAGAACAAAGTAAATAAATTACCTAGAGATTAGAATTCAGAGGTTAGAATTATGCTTGGCTTCTTATTTAACACTGTGCTTTGGTTTCTCAGTGAATATACTTACAACCAATACTACATTGGAAGGGGCTTATCTGGCATCATGGGAACATCTAGTGAAAAAGGAAGAAATGTGGACCAGAGAAATACTGCAGAGGATAGGGCACTTGCCTTGCTTGTGCAATCAACCAGGGTTGATTGCACATATCGTCCCCTGAGTACCACCAGGCGTGACTTTAAAGTACAAGGCCAGGAGTAAGCACTAAGCACCAACAGATATGGACAAAAAAACCAAACCAAGTCAAAATAAAACCTTTGAAAAACAGGGATCAGTCCCAGGTTCCATCCCTGCCTTCCCACATGGTCATCTGAGCACTTCCAGGAGTAATTTCTGAGTGCAGAACCAGAAGTAATCCCAGAGCATCACTGGGTGAGGCCCAAGAACAAAAACTATAACAGAAACAAAAGAAAGAAAAATAGGGATCAGGGAGAAAGGACTGAGGTAAAGTGCTTGCCTGGCACGTGGCTAGTCCTACTTTGATCCCTGGCATTGCTTCTGGTTGCTGTAAGCACACAGTTAAGAGCAGAGCACAGCTGTGGGTGGCCCCAAATCAAAAATTCCAAAACAAAACAAAAAGAAGAAGGAGAAGCCCTCTCTTCACTGTGTACTGTGTATACTGCTGACTGGGTGTCAGGGGTTGTTTGGGCGTAGAAGCAGGCCAGAGAGACCAATGCACACTGTCTCAGGAGAATAAAAAAAGAATACAAACTGCTTTCTTAATGTGCAAAGAGGCAAAGTTGTACAGATAAGCACAATTTAGATATGGTAGTAGTAAGTTCAGATATTCCCATGTTAAATGAGGGGTGTATACAAGAATTGAAGAAAACATGGACAGGAGGAACATGTGGGCCGATTGTAGTAAGAATCAGGGTTCAAGATCACGGAGCTAGAACTAATAACTTCCACAGAGAAAGAGTCTGACACACAACAAATGAAAGTAGCAATTAGTGCTCCCTGAAAACGGACTGAGGTGCCTTGTAAAACAGCTCTTTATCTTCTGAATTAGTCAAGCAGTGTCTGGCATGACCAATTATTGGAGAGAGCAAAGCGTGAGATAAAGTGTAAAGTACTTTTATCAACTCAGGCTTTATGAATCCATGATTCAAGGCAGGAAAAAGAGGGGGCGGGAAGACTTTATAGGCAGAGGATGCCAAGAAATACTGAAAAATCTGTATGAACTGTGTGTTCACAGAATGTGTATGGGCCCATGCCACGTGCTTCCCCGTAGAGAACAATCTCCAAGGGTTGGGGGTAGCAATTCCACATAGGTGAGGAAGCACAATCAACATATGTAAAACCCTTCCTTCTGGGGAAGCTTCTTCTAAGACAAAGATCTCATCTTGCTAGATGCTCTGCTCAAGGTTGGAATTTCATCTAAGGGCACATTTCTCTTTTTCTTAGTCCATATTCATTTAAATGGTCATCTATTTACTTCTTAATCATCTTTCTAGTCATTTTGTATGGACAAAGTAAGAGCTCTATTAAGTTTAAAGGGTGGCTCTTCTGGGGACATCTCTCTATATATCCCAGACTCGGGTAAGGTTAATCACTTAATCACTTTACATTCCTACTTTGAACATCACTTAATAATCACTTAACTTCCCGTTAGTCGTCTCAATTTGTCCCTGTCTCATGGTAGTGTAGCCCAATGGCATCTGTTCGCTCTGGGAACATGAAGAGCCTCAAACCGATCGTTGATGATCTTGATGAAGAAATCTGACCATCTGCTAGGTGGGCGGCCATGTGGTCTTTTGACATCCTGTGGAATCCAGTCGGTAACAGCTCTATTCCAGCGGTCGTCTTTAAATCTCATTATGTGACCAGCCCATCTGATTTTTGACACCTTGACAAATGAGACAGCGTCCCTGATTCTTGATCGTCCACAGATGTCAGAACTCCGGATTCTTTCTCTCATTTGAGTGAAACGTGACATTCCAAGCATAGCTCTTTCTATTCTTTGGGAGACCTGAATAGCGTTCTCATCCTGTTTGCGTAGGGCCCAGGTCTCTGAGGCATATGTTAATGCAGGAAGAACAGAGATGTGCCCGGAGCCGGAGGTTCTTCGTCCTCTTAGTTATTTCTTCGACATTCTTGAAGGCGTTCCAAGCCGCTCTCTTCCTCCTGCGCAGCTCGGGTGCCAGGTCATTTGTCATGTTGACCTCTCAACCTAGGTACACATAGCTGTTGCATTCGGAGATGGTCGTTCCATTGAGAGCCAATGGGGCGTCAGGAACGAGGCTGTTTCTCATAAACATTGTCTTCGTAAGATTCAGCTGTAGTCCTACCTTTCCACACTCACGGTCAAAGTTGGCCAGCATTTGTGCCGCTTGGCTGATGTTTGGTGTTATTAAAACAATGTCATCAACAAAGCGGAGGTGGTGAAGTTGCCGACCATCTATCTTCACTCCCATGCTTTCCCACTGCAGTCGTTGCATGATGTTCTCGAGGGTGGCACTGAAGAGTTTCAGTGAAATGGTATCACCCTGCCGAACCCCTCTCTTGACATCAATGATTACTTCTTTGTAGAATGGTGAGATCCTGGTAGTGAATCCGCAATACAGCTCACGGAGGATCTTGATGTATTGGGCTTGAATGCCCTGATTGGCTAGGGCTTCAATGACCACTTCCATCTCAACAGAATCAAAGGCCTTCTTTAAATAAATGAATGTTAGAGCGGCATCTTGAACTCCCGAGAAACCTCAATGAGCTTGGTTATCGTGTGGATATGGTCGATGGTGCTGAATCCTTTGCGGAACCCGGCTTGCTTGCATGGTTGTCCTTCATCTACTGTTCTGCCTATCCTATTCAGAATGACTCGAGTGAACAACTTGTAGATGACAGACAATAGGCAGATCGGGCGATAGTTGCCAATGTCATGGTTGTCTCCCTTCTTGAACAGTAGTATGGTTCTGCTGGTTTTCCATTGGGACAGAACCTTGCATTCAGACAGGTAGCGTGTAAAGAGCCGAGCCAGTGTATTGATGAGTACTGATGGCAGGTTCTTCAGGTGTTCAGGTCTGACCTTGTCTGGGCCAGGTGCTGTTTGTTTCTTTACTGATGAAATGGCGTGTCGGATTTCGGAAGGGAGAACATTGGGAACAACATATCCATCCTGTGGAATTTGGTATGTCGGCAAGTGGACATGGCTATCGAAGAGATTTGAGTAGAAGTCATGGATAATCTTCTCCATTGCCGTTCTGGAGGATGTGATAGATCCATCAGGACATCGGAGGGCAGTCATCTTGGTCTTGTAGTTGGCGAAGGATAGGCGGGCGTTACGAATATTTTTCCCGGCTTCTGCCACTTCTACCAGCACTTCTGCTCTTCTCTCTTTGAGGTCTTCCTTGATCGCATCTCTGCACTGTTTTGCGAGCTCGGACATTAGCTTGTGGTTGCCTGAGGCATGTGCCAAACCACGCTGGCAAATAAGCTCAAGAGTTTTCGAAGACAGGTGTCCTTTTGTGGCTATCTCTCTCTTGGCGTTCCTCGCACAATCATGGAGGTGCTGAACCATTTCTCATCAATGTTGTCAACAATGGCATCTTCCCATGTTGCTGCAATAGTTCCAAAGAGCTCCCAGTTGGTGGTCGTTCAGGGAGTTCTCTTTTTAAACTTTGCAGCCTTTTCTCCCTGCTCTGTGAAGCAGAATTTTGCATGAAGGAGACGGTGGTCTGATCCCGTTCAGAATTTTGGGACAACAGTGACATGGGTCAGGCAAAACTGTCGATTGAATATGATGTGGTCTATTTCGTTGTGGAATCGTCCACCGGGAGACTCCCATGTCCAACGTTTAGATTCTGCCTTCTGGAACTGTGAGTTACCATGGATGGTCTTGGTCGACATGATGAACTCAGACAGTCTCTCACCCTGTTCGTTCCATTCTAGGCCATGGGTCCCGATGTGAAGTTCTTCAGCTGATCTTCTCAGTCCTATCTTGGCATTAAAATCACCCACAATGATTTTGTAGAAGGTGTGGTCTTCTTTGTAGAACTTCTCCAGCTCCATGTAGAACTTCTCAATTTCTCTTTCATCTTAATGA